TACTTCTCCGAATTTTAATTGTTATAACTCGCATTATCAGAAAAGTTATTTGTTAAATATTATACTGTATGAAATGGGGTTGTTATTTGGAAAACAGCTCCATTAAGTTTTTTAATTTTAATTTCAATTTTGCTGAACTATAAGTTTTTCTGATTGAAATTTAAAATAATACATTTATTTTTTTAATATATTTACTGTCGAACAATATCGATTTAAGTGTTTTCTGATTTTTAATTATGTTTTAAAGATAATTATTTAATTTAAAATATCATTTTTACATTCTTACAATTTTAAATTTTAATTTATTATACGAGCCATAAGAGTAGGAGCAGGATTTTCGCGGTTTTAAGTGCCATATTGTTCAGCTGTGAAACTGGCATAAAAACTGGCATGAGAAAAGAAAATATTAGTTAGGTAACAGCCAGCCGATTACCAATATTATAGACCAGTTACCTATTGTAGAATTTTAAAGTGTAAGTCGATTTATGTAGGAAAACATAAAAAAGATTATTATTTTGACATAAATTATTGATTTTAGTTTTTTAAATTTCACAATAAATTTAGAATATCAAAAGAAATTAATTTGAATTTTTACATTAGATATACTTTTACTCGCTTAGAATATTATTAACGATTTTTTGTTATATCTAAAAATTATTTTGAAATCGATTTCTAGCTCGGTCAATGGGTACAGATATGATAAGCGTACAAGTCGAAAATTCATTATTATTATTATATTCGTCTACAGTTCAGACGAACGGGATTGAAGCGAGATCGAAATCAAAGTTAATTATCAACCAAAATATTAAACGAAGTCGTGTCTATAGAATATCATTACGAGACCGTCTGATGAATGGCGCAAGAAGAGTTTAAATCGTTTACTGTACGCATATAACTGGGACGACATGAACAAAAAAGAAAAGTTTTCGAAACGGCACAAAGCAGATAACTCACAAATAAACTATAGATTAAAATGAATATGAACTAATTGATATAATGTTTATGCGAAAAAAACACTATTAATTCATTTATTTCATGTTAATTCGATAACATATTTATCTATCAATCACAATAAATTGTTACAGTAATAATATCAAGTTGGAAATATTATTTATTATAATAATTATTGTTGAGTTAGATATTTTGTTTTTGTTTGTACGGTTTAATATCGATGGGTTCATATTTTTAAGTGCATATTTGATGATTTGTTAGTGCATTAATGGCATTGCTCTACTATATTTAATGTATGGACATAAGTATTAATATAGGATTTTGAGCACGAAAACAGTTTACCCAATTCTATGGTCTATGTTATTCACAATTCCTAAATGCACTATAACAGTGCACACTATATTCGCAGCACATAATAGAAGCGACAGCTATCAAAATACCATTGTTCACTGAAAAATATGTCCTTGAATCGACTGTCATAATTTTTTTCTGTGATATTCCTGTTGATAATAATAATAATACCATAAGAATCAGACGGTTTTTTCCGCTGATAAATTCACTCATCGCAACATATTTTGTGCTGCAGTGAGTGATCTGATGTTGATTTGGAATTATATTTTGTGGACAAAGTAATTGTTCCGAAACTAAATGCATTTAAAAAGTATTTACATACAGCCACCGATCCAAAAAAGTTAGGAAAGCATGTGTTCTAATGGATATCGTCTAGAATATTTGCCATGAAATTACATTTCCGAGCAGAATTTGTTGTTGAAATAATATTGTAATTCAAATGAAATACGATTCCAAAATAATGTTATTCAATAAAAATACAGTTCCAATAGTACTGCGTATTTCCAATTTTATATTTTTTTACTAAATAATATGGAGCCAAACGAATAACTGTCCAATATTCTTCGATTAGTTGCATTTGTTTTTGAGTAATACGTTTCCGGTAAAATATAATTTTAAATCAATGCGGATGTAAATGTTTTCCAAGTTTTCACGTTGTGACCAATTATTGTCCAACAAAATGTACTCATTATCGGGTGTACAGATCTCCCAAAATCGACTGAGCCTCTCAAAACAAGTTGCAAAAACATTTTTTTTTATTCTTTTTTTTTTTTTGAGACATGTTCATAACTGGTTGTTGGAACAGAAATATTTAGACAATAGACATAATATTATAGCGAACAAGTTTTTTTTCAGAAACTTATTTTTGTGAAAAATATTTCGTCAGCATTGCATATTATCGGATTACCAAATTTTCTAAAAAGAGTTAAAACTATTCCAGCAAAATACTACTTTTCCAAATAACATTATAAACGATTCCAAATTTATATTTTTCAACTGTTGGATTTCCAAACGTAAATATTTTCGAGTATCAAATTACTTTTCAAACAAAATATTATGTTTTGCGAATTTCCATGACGGTCCGATCAATTATTATTATTTTCCGACAGTAAGCAGCCCTCTCCAACTAGTCCATCTATTCGCGTTTGCAATTTAATGAATACTTTACTCCTCGATATACGACGACAATATTTGCAAAGTTCAGCTCTCCGCTCAGAATTGCACGATTTCATAATATTACGATAACAATAATTAGGGAACGGATTTTATTTTAGTATAAAATCAAAAATATTTAAATATATATTTGTTTTTTACTTAATAAATATTTATTTATCAATGTATAATATTTAAATTGAAAATAACATTAAATAATTAATTTAAAAAAAAAAAAATTTTAAATGTATTCTGAATCATCATAGTCTTTGTGTGAGAAACAGTTAGAAAGAACATATAGCTTGAAATTTTCAAATGTAAAGTGGCGGCCGTTCGGTCTTAACATTGCTTTGCAACGGCTGAATGACCTCTCTATATCGACGGAGGTGACAGGCGCATATTTTATACACAATATTTCTTTTGGAGTGTATTACATTTCTGAATAATTATTGTTATTCGGAGTTTTGTTTAATAGTATGTCTCTTATTGACAATACAGTATTATATTAAATCCTGTGCTTTTCCAAGACATTTTTTAATTTTGAATTGGTTAAAACTCTAATTTCTCCAGGAACATATTCTAATTGCTTTATGGCATTATCAACTATTTCTAAGCTCTCCGTTAGCGGCATTTTAGAAGTTTCTAATTTTGAAATAGTATCAACTAAAAATCCAAAATTAGTCGAAATAAATGCTAAATTTTTTTGCGAATTTTTACTGTCTATGAGCTCAACAGTTATTTTCAAAATAGTTTCTTCGTAGACCCCACTAACGTAATTTTTTCGAAGTGTACTCTCGTCGGGAATTTTGTGACCAGTATATTTTTCCATAAAATTTTTAAATGCAACATTTTTTAATTTAAAAAGAGGAATGTCTGAACGCACAAGGGCACGACACAAATCATCATTAAAAACCGACTTACTACTGGTAGATGCAGATGATGTAGAAATAAAATTTTGTTGAAATATAGGCTTTCTCTCTTTATTGCCTCTATGTTTACTGGTATAGATGTGCTAAATAACTTGACCACGTTGGTCGCAGATACTGATTTATCGCAAGGCTGACAGTATAAAACTTGTCCATCACTCCTAAAAGTTTCATTGGGAAATTCTTCCAAATAAATACTAGCTTTTGACCTTTTTGTGCGAGCTACTTTGGGCATATTTTAAATAGTTAACACTATTATATCATACAAACTTCACAAACAGACACAATACGAAAATAACGTGATCGAATAACGCTCATACGATTACTGATCGAAAACAGAAAACATATACTCGTATACTGAAATTACTACCTACTACTTAGATAACTTATCCTATCTAAGATAACTAGATAACTAGATTGTCGTTTGATGTCAAAGGTGTACAGTACAGAGACCTAATCGCATCGCAAAATACTAAAATAAAAACGGAAATTCTTCAATAATACGGAATACGTATATTTATTCGTAAAATAATTAAAATATACACGAAAATTCCACAATATTACATAATTTATGTATTTATTAATAGTTTAATTATTCTGAAACATTTGAAAATATATTTAAAATAAAATTAGCATCAGATTACTTAAAATTAAATGAAACGTATGCATATATCGAAAACTTTCCGATGCTATTATAACATAAAAATATTTATTTAAATTAAAATCCGTTCCCTAATAATAAGTAATAGAAGCATCCGAACGGACAGGCCGAGCGATTTTTCACCGTTTATTGTTACAACATGACTAACTGCGAAACATTATTCCGCCGTCGTGGATGCGCATGGTGCATATTACAATAATTTATAATAATATGATATAGTACGCGTTTCTGCGTTGGCTTTATTTTTCGTGACTGATTCGATTACACAATGTGCAAAGACGGGCAAGTTAATTAAATAATATGCAATAAATAATTGACTCGAGTTAAGTAGTTAAGTTAAGGTAATCACACGATCGTTCACCAAACACGATCCCTTATCAAGAAACATAAAAAGAAATATTAGGTTTAATATTATTACTACATGTACATTATTAGATTATTTGGTATTTATACCCTTTGTGTACATTATGTTTGATGTAGAAACCAAAAATGCAAGAACATTTTTAACTTTGTCTCGATAGATTATTTTTATTTTGGCTAAAAAAAATAAGTCAATATTTAGCCTAATTTTTAGGCTAATATTATCACTTTGCTGAAACCAAAAATGTCATCAATAAAAATATTTAAACCTACATTTAAAAGTAAGTACCTAGTGAATTGTATTGATATCGTAAAGAGCTAAAAACTAAATTATATTTTAACTCAACTTAAACTTTTTGACTGAGTAGTTAATGCGCCCTCCTTTGACAATACGAATTTCTCTGATGAAAATATGAAATAATATCATCGTGAGCAGTTAAACATTAATATAAATATAAATATCGTTATATGTTGTCTGATGAAATCAGCCACACGGTCGACTGTTGTCATATCATACAAATATTACAACAATAACCATAATGCTAATATAACTAATAATACTAATAATAATATCAATTATATGTAGGTCATTGCAGTACCTGTAATAGTAACGAAAGCACGACGATGCCATGTGATCTCTGCACCGCGTCCGAGTAGTTGGCGAACAGCTGCGAGTTGAAACTGAATATCTGAAGCTGTAGGCAAAGAAAAAAAAAAGAAATGAAATAATATTGATGCGAAATTACGAAAACGATAATATTACTACATTACAATGTATAATGTCATCGTGTTACACGAGAGTGGCAATGGCCATATAATATAATAATAATAATAATAATAATAATAATAATAATAATGATATTACGTCGACGACGGACGGAATCGATTCCAATACCACCGCCGTCATTCGAATCGTTAAACTTTATTATACCGCGCCCAATTTAGTGTCCTATCAAAAAGCATTAAATAAATCACGAAACTTTTCTTCGCGGCACAAATTTTCACCGACGGTTTTCGCGTGTCGTGAAATTAAAAAAAAAAAAAAAGTTCGGGAACCACACCGTTCTATAATATACGACGTATATAAATACGTACGACGCTTTGAGCTGAAAATCACACGATCGGGTGGCTTTGCGAAGTGTACGATTGCGTTGAGCACAAAACACGCTCGCGTAGGGGACGAAATGGCCGAGATTGGAACTCGGAAGTCACGAAGGTGCAGTGGAATCGTCGCAGACTGATGATATAGAGTTTAATAATTATGATAATAATAACGTTACGATATCGTCATTATCGTCGTTTCGATTGCCAAGTCTCGTATTTCGGAATAATTTCGTACAGCTCGATGTCGGGTTGAAAATTACATATTTCTAGTGGTACCTTTAATAACATACGGTATGTGCATGAGTAAAATCTATACTATATAGACGAGTATATTATGTTGTACGTCATCGTTTTAGTGCGTATTTCACCGTTGTTGTTATTTATATTCGTCACCGCGGTACCTTGAATTGGTATGAACACATAATTATTCGCCTGGGCCGTAAGACTGTAGCACCAATCTCCTGTTTGCAGCATTTCATGTATATATTTAAAAATACACAATCACCCTTCCACAATGATGATGTACACTAATATTATCGAAAATAGATTCGTGCAATGATCGTAGTTCAATTTTTGCTGTAATTACTATCGCCGGTTGTCGATTGCGCATATTGTTAATTTTGACCTTTTTATAAGACAGTTGAGCATCGTTCGATTTTTCGGTTGTACATCGTTTGCGCATCAATATTATTTAGGGGTACACCCAAAAGCTCAAGTGGTTTTCTAACTTTAATCTTAAAATGTACACACCTCTAAATTAAAATGTTGTAAAAGTAAAAATGTAAACGCATGTGTTTTCATTATTTTTAAACTTAAAAATCTTAAGTTATTCAGCATCCATAAATATTATATATTGTATGGTATTTTTTTTTTTTACTCTCTTCTATTGCTCAGAATATTGATGAGCATTTGATGTACGATAATTTGGTGCAGGTAAACAGGCTATGCGCAAATGATGTACGGCCAGTAACTATATTTGTCACTGCAGTAGGTACCTTAAATTGATATTATGCTTTTACTAATTATTCATTTATTCACCTCGACCATAAGACGTTTGCACGAATGGTTTGATTATGACATTTGATTATGCGGGAACGATGCTAACATTTCAGATTTCGAAAAAACATAATTTTAATTTAGGGACACCTGTACAAAATAAACACTTTAAATTGTATAATTATATAACCTACGTATTTCGCTATTTTAGATTTTGAAGTGCCTATTTAATTTCGAATAACGTATAAATATTTCAATATAAAATTTATTGAACTAAAAAAGTGTTTATTTTTAAGCATGTCGAAACCATTAGTTTGTTAGCTTTTTATTAATATTTAAAAATACTTGATCACATTTTGTTTATGGTATAACAACAATACCTCAAACAGGTGCGTCATAATCATAGTCCACTAATTGTTGTTTTAGTTATTATATTTGTCAGCATTGTCACCGCAGTTGGTACTTTAAATTAATATGACGTTACAAATTTGCTATGACCGCAACACTATAAGCACGAACGGTTTGTGAAAATTTAATTTATATTTTCTTTCCTACGGTTTTTGACTGAAAAAAATGGAATAAATAATTAGGTGAAAGTGTTTACGTAAAAAGTTATAGGTAAACATAATATAATACATTTCATTATTTAAAATTTTTTTAAATTTAAAATGCTAGTTAAACGATCATTACTCAAAACCTTGACAAGATTACTTAGCTGTAATGTTATTAATATGCACAAATCAAAATTAATTCAAATGAAACATTTATTTTTAATTTGTTTAATGTTTACAACACATGCCTATAACACTGATAACAATTTAAGTAACGAACGGGGAAACATCTTAAAAGTAAACTAAAAATAATAAATACTTAAGTTTATAATTGTGTTTTAATTTTAATTTTCAATAGTTGCAGTAGTTATTAGTTATTAGTTTAAAAGAAAAATCACAAGTAGACCTACATTTTATTTTTAGTGATAACACATAAAGTGCACAAAAACAAAAAATAAATTGATGACATTGGAAATATTTCGGAAGTAAACCAAAAGGCCGAACTAAATAAATATTTAAGCTGTACAAGATGTACTTCAATTTGAATTTCCAATAGTTTTAGTAGGATTATAGCATAGAATATTTTACAATTTTAATTAATACATTATATTTTATTCGTTTCCCCAATTATAATTAATCCGTGTTTTTATGCAAGAAATTGTTACAAATCATTCGTGTTTGTAGTTTTACTAACAAGTCAGTCGGGTACGTCATACTTTAAGGCGTCAGAGGAAATTCAATTCAATTCCACTATACGAAATAATGAAAAATATAGTAATAGCAACAAGGGGACGTCACACCCGTATGTCGTTGTCTTGTTTTTATAAACTTATAATAAATTAAGATTATTGAAAGTATTACAATTAAAAAATGCACGAAAACTGCTTGGAAATTAAAATACCAAAAAAAAACAACAGCCTACCAAATACACTTACAGCTAGGTGGTGTTAATAGTCATTAACACCTATTCGTGTTTTGATATTTTTTGATAGTCTTTTTCTGATATCGTCTCCTTATGTTTATTCTCTTTAGATTACAATGTCTTATAGACGATGATATACACACTGCTCTCGGTCAAATTACTGTAATTAATAAATTAAATCTTTAACATATTAATTTTTGACAGGATTTACTACGCGTATAACATCCGGCCACTGCCCGAGAATCGATCAAATAATCGACGTGGAGCAACGGTGCTTAAGTAGGAACACTGCAGGTGTACACTACCCCGATATTATTATCATTATGGTTACGCAGACATTATAGTACTGTACGCACCTCAGATCATAATATACTATGGATGGAGCCATGACACACGACGTGTTGAAGCACATGATATAAACGACGAGTGTCTGACATTGACGTTTGATGTGCGCATGCCTAACCGTGGCACATTTTTTATCAATCGGAGATCAGCGACTAAATATGCGACGGCTAGCCTCGCGCATGCGCACATCAAACATCGATGTCAGACTCGGTGGTTATAATATGTGCTTGGAATTGTTTACACGGCCGATATGGGAATGGCTCCGTCCATTGTACATGATCCGAGGTACTTACGCACATCGTGTTTTTGAAACCCGATATTGCAGGTGGTATTATAATATCATGACGATGTAATGTCAGTCACCGGATAAAGTGTGGATATTGTTTCCGTATCGACGAATCCAGCTTCCAGATTCCCGATATTCTGCATGGAGAGAAAAAAGGTCGTCCCTATGCCGTGAAGAGTTGCAGTGATTGAAGGAAGTTGCCACGTTGTTACGTGTTGGAAATCACGTGACATCTCGAGATTTGATTTTTTTTGTACGAACAACGGGTGATATTATCGTTGTACTTGTTATTACACCATTTACCATTTTATTTTATTTGTCATAATGGTGGGTGAACGTATCATCATTACGTACGGTCATCCAAATGGACTCGAAAAATTGCTTCCATGCAGTATCCTGCGATATCTGGATGAATATAGGTATTTTGATTTTTATCATAATTTAGAGATGAAAATATTTTAAAGTATATTTTTATCTGCATTTATTCATTAGGTAATAAGAAAATTGTTGTGAAAAGATTTTCAATTTTATTATGATACAATATTTTTTTTTTTTGTCGTGAGGGGGGGGGGAGTTATTCGTGTTTCTAAACAATAGCATATTTTTTCGATTTAACTTTTATGTTCTATTACAGTTACTTTATGTATAATATTATTTATTACGTCTTGTATTTTACAATACTTATTTTGTAGTTTATTGTTCATTCTCGCTGTAAACACCGATGGATAATCGTGTTTAAGACACAAGTAATTACGAGTATAAAATTTAAACTTCAATATAATTAAATATTTTTATTTTTATTTTTTATTGATCATGAAATAATAATAATTTCTGCTTCAAGTACTAAGGCCGTTAGCATTATATTTACGTATACATTGCTCAAAATCTATAAAGAGAAGAAAAAATAAAGTTTACAGTTTTATACTTAGATATTTAAGTGCGTATATTGTAATATAGTTGGATAAATGGAATTTAATATTTTGATTCTATTGATAATTCTATTGTGCTGATTTCGTTGTCTAGATTTGGACCTGGAGTATTCTAAGGACGTGGCATACGTTACGTTTTTCTTTTTATTTCTCATATTTTCTACATTCCTCGAAAAATTATTATATTTGTAACAAAATGTGTGCTATATTACAAATGCAATTTATAAACGGTTTTTTTTTTATCCATACTAATTTTAGCCTTCTGATAAATACTAGCTAAAAAAATATTTCGAGTTTCAGCTAATATATATTGTCTAGATAAAATTAAAAAAAAATTATCCGTCTCACTATCTAGGTACGCTGTTGGCTATGTTTTTGCAAAATTGCTCTCGTGCAATTGGATACTGTTTGCACTCATGACAATACATTAGGCACACGTTTCAAACATGAAACTGCAATTATTATGCATGCCATGTTCGCATCAAATCCTACCTACTTGATTGGTAATTAAAATGTTGAACGAAAAACCAACTGCGATTGTGTGTTAAGTTGAATGGCGAGTACAATTTGTTATTCGATAGCGTAATAAATCATTAACTGCTACGAGCAAAGAGTCTTATGACACTTACATAAGTACCATCTGATTTTCAGCAGGGGCATTGGTGTATTATCGTTGCAATATTATACATCGTAAAGAGTATTTGAAATATAAATCCAATAATTATTCCATCAGCCTGAGTATATACTCATACTCACACGTATACACACGTTACTACGGAATGACCCGACAAATTAAATAGCTTTTGTTCTAATCAATATTTTTTTAGTCATGCCGTAAAGAAAAATTGTATGGACAAATTTTGCCCATAAAAACATTTGTTAAATGCATGATGCTTAAATTTTTACAATTTTTTTCATATGTCATGGGTTTTGTTAAGTAATTTTGATCCAGTCGTAAAAAAAAATTTAAGTACGAAAGTATACAAAGTATACATTTTTTGACAATATTTTATGGAAATTTTTAAATAGCCGAAGTATTTTTTTTTTAAAGATATCATTTTTCAATTTAATAAGTCTTACTTCAAAAAACATTTACATTTAAAAAAAACACAAAATTTAAAATACTGGACTTAGATACATTTTTTTCAATCAAAAACTTTCCCAAACAGATTTACAAATTTACTTTTCATAATAAACCAAAACATTCATCGCTCTGTTCAGACACTTACACTGTGAAACATCAAATTCTCTTACATGTGTAACGCAGTTCTTTTACATTTTTTTCCCGACTACTTAGAATAGTATTGACAAATTATACTGCTAACTCCCTCGGCGTACAGACTAGATCCAATTTTCCACCACAAACCACACATATAAGTTGTCGGTCCTGGCATATTATTGTCCCTTATAAAAAAAGTGTATACAGATCAAAAATAAATAAAAAAGCTTACAGGGTAATATTTATAGTTAATGAAATAATTCAAATCGTTTTATGATCAACATAGATTCGTCATACATTCGTCGAGAGACTAGAATATAGACTATGTATAAGTGTCTAAAGTTCTATCAATATTATTATCATTGTGTGATGGTCCCAAACCGATCGTCAAAGACCGTGTGACAGACTCTGTTTGAATGCTACACTGTAAGTATAGATTTTTGAACGAATGATTTTCGCAGGTCAAACACGGTATGATTACTACCGCGGTAGATAAACTCGAAAACATGCTCGTAAATTTAATGTTGAATATTGTACTAGCATAAGCCTCCGCCGGAAACGAATAACCGTTGATCGAGTGTTCGAAGCTTATTTCGTATTAGTGTGTGTGTATCTAGTAAAATATTTAAATGTCCGCATTTAAATAAATTATACATATTTTTGGTGGCAAAATTGTGATTTTATTATCACATGCAATATACATTATTGAGGGTAGTAGAGAGTAGAGCTGTTCATCACTCTAAGCCAGAGCCTGTTTATTTGATTTCATGTTCTATTAGTTATTTATTTTCATGTATGACTTATTTTTATTTTGTTCTGTCAATAACATATAGGCCCAAAATATTGTGAAATATATAATAGGTATTTACAATAAATACACTCAACGATAAGTACTAATATAGTAAGAACTAATAAGTAGAGGTAATAATGTTTATTAACAATGTTAATGAAGAACCAGTTACGAATTTGTTCTAGGATTTATTACCTACGTGTGTTTCACTATAGTTATTTTGTAGTATATTTATCACTATAAGCACCAACGGATAATCGCATGTTTGCACACATCCATTTACAAGTGTAAACATTTAAACTTTTATACTATTTTAAATATATTTTTTTTTTAATTCGATTTGACAAACAATCCGTACGAATTAGCACATTTAGTCTATATGATAAACATACAAGTAGTGTGTAACAACTAACAAGAGAGGTATGATCAAACTGGCCACGCATCAGTCACGCTCGGCCACTATATTTATGGCAAAACGTATGATTTTTGCAATTAAAAATTTACATTATTAGGTTTTTATTTTAATGAATTTGGACTATTCCGTATTTATAATATATTTGATGTATCGACTGACTGTATATTATATTTTCATCCAGATAAATTGGCACAAACGTCTGTTGTATAAATTAAATAAATGTCTACCCCCCAACATACTACATTCTTATGAGATCTTATCTCGATGACCGTTACTTTCAAATCCGTTATTTTATCGCTATGGGTATTCAAAATTTTTTTATGCGCCGTTTAAACAAATGCAGCCTACCTCTGCCGGAAACGAATAACCGTTGATCGAGTGTTCGGAGCCAATTTCGTCCTGCTGGCCGTAGTGTATGTGTATCTCGTACACTTGATATTTGTACGACAGCGGTCCGCCAGTGATGTTTATGTGATTCTTGGTGCCGTTCTCCAGATAAAACATAACGCTGTGACCGGTGTTGCATATCATACCGTCCACCTGTAACGATACAAAATGATAACAGTGGATTGGTGTGGCACGGTGGTTGTATGTTCAGTAACGTTTCGTTACTGCAGAGTGCAAGCACCGGCCGCCGGTGTCACTAGTTCCCGGATGGGAGACCCCACTGGGTTTTTCGTAGTGAAATATCCTCGCCAGGTGTTCTGACCGACCGTACCATCTCCCGCAGTAATACAACTCTGAATCCTAACAAAAGCTAAAGGCCGTAATTTCCTGTGCTTAAATTTAATAATAATAATAAAAAAAAATGTTGATATGATAAATAATAGTCTGAGTAATAGGCGTACCGGAGGTGGGATAATCTTACGTAGCTACGTAATCTATGAATCTGATAAAAACATCGTTTGTTACTGCAGTAAGCTGTAAAGTACACCAATGAATCGATGTACGGAAACACTACCTGATAATTATTAATCTGCTGGTAACGAATGAAAATGTTTTCAAATATACTTATAGTGATTGCAGAACTACTTAAGACACGCTAAGAAATGGCGAACATTGCATTAAAAATGTGTACAAATAAAAATTCACTGAAAATAGTCAAAGGTTGAGATTACATTTTGCGAATATTAACCGTACCTACTATTTTATGCGACAATACGTCATAATGCTTTCATCAGCTTAGTAAAACGTATTCAATGAGAATATTATTGTTACGAAATTATGGTGCAAAGATTTAAATTATTATTTTGTGTGACTAACCACACGCGTTATATCATCCATCGTGCTGGATATGATGAAATGATTCCACATTGACAGCGCGCGCTGGAGTTCGTTTGCAATTTTTCGAATTTCGATTGAAATTGGTGAATGGTAAACATACCATTGGCTTATAAAAATATTACAATTCGCATTTTATTTTTTTTTCCAAATGTCATAATATCTCATAGCATTGTATGTGTAAGCTGGGTCGATGCGGATCCAATGTTAAATCATTTGGAAATGTACCGTATCCAATGAGTTATGATATATAGTGTTTTAAATGATTGATCATCACGTATAATGAACTAAAATGTATTTTTATTTTTGTGGTTCTAAAGTTCGTCTAGTATTTTTAAAATTATGTCAACAAATTAATAACTATTTACATTTATATGCGTATAAATCTATATCTATATAGAACCCTTGAAAAGTTTTTCGCTTATACAGAAAAGTTACAAAGGTGTCACTTAAGCTAAATGGACTTTTTACAATGAGTCACAAACTGTAATTGCAGTAACAGTTGTAAAAAATGAGCGTAAAAAGCATTGTCGAAATGTATACACAAAATGGTATATTATGACGTGTTATGATGAATCTCGAACACGTACGTGGTTGTAAAATATCACGTGAGGTATAATTATCGAACCACACAGTTAACTTAACTTCTCTGAAAAACAAAAACAACGTTCAACATTGTCATAATATATACCTACGCTGGGGGTCAGGTCATGTCGACGAGTATATTGCAGCGAAAAAAAAAGTGATCACTGATCGACCATACTCTTTCAAAGTAGCCATTACAATGATAGCTCGTGTAATAAGTAATGGTTATTAAACAGAAGAATTGTTTAGGGGGGGGGGGAGGTCGTCGATGATACATATTTTACTGAAATTTATTTTTTTAACAAAAAATCAACATCTGTTTAATGTCCACTAAGCTACAGATTAGAGACATTTGGAGTAGTGTTTTATGGTTCTTAAAAAGGAATCAACAACTATCAAATATTATAATTATTTAGTTATACGATTATACTGTAATATTGTATGCTTATGAGTTATGACACAAAACCCAAATTCAAAAAAATTCAATACACCATAAATAATCTATATATTGTGTAATATTATTTTTAATTATTTTTTTTTTCTTTGTACAATATATATGTTAACGAAACGACCGATATTACTCAGGTAATAAATAATTATGTATTTTTTCTTTATTTTACACTTATTTTAATTGACAATATTACAGCACGTTAATATTAACAGTTGTGTGGTCAGTAATATGTTTTTATTCTCTTTAGTTTATAAGCTATTATATTCAACAGCCAAAAAGTGTTTAATAATAATAATCAATTATTTTTTTTTGTTTTGGCAGTTAATACACTTAAGGTTTCTACGCACATGTTGACACATGAAAATAATATCTACAAGTAAAGAAAATTTCTCGAGTTTTTTTTTCAAACTTTTTTGAAATATATCTGCAGCTGTCATAGTCTAAAAGTGTTTCTTCGGACATTATTGCGAAGTATTTAACTGCTGAACTGTTACCGAATTTAGTTAAACACAAACTCACCCGCTGCCTGTCCACGTGCAGTTCGGTCAAGTTGGGATCGTAGAGCAATTTTTCCGGGTCCAAGTTGACGGGTGACTGTCGTCGACCTTTGTTGCAAAGACTCCACTCTGGATTTATCAGGCCCCAGAACGCCGGACCTGGAAAGAACAAGCACAAAGCATTAAACGTGTTTTATTTTTATACTGGATACACATTGGGCTTTAATCGCCGCAAGAGGACATTTTTAAAAGTTGGGTTATTAAATCGATCACATAATATTATGTACAGTTAATAGCCAACTATAATCTATACTATAATAAGTGATAAATTTACAGATAATATAATACCATTTTTGCCTATCGAATATTTTATGACCGTTAATTTAGTGATTCGTAAAACTCGGCAGATAAATCATTATTCATATAATATCGATATTTTTTGACTGTAATCAATAATCATAGTTTACAACCTACAGACAACTAAATGCATGAAAAAAATAATATATCCATGTTGTTCATATTTTCATGGAAATATTTCTAATTCAAAACCTTGGATATACACTCTTGCGTTTTACGTGAGCATGAAACTGATTATGCAATTTAGGGACCGATGGTTAGGTTCACATCTGCGTGTAAGACATACGCTGTATGTGTACCATTAACCGTAACGTGGGTATATATAACTTCAACGATACAAAGTGGTTCTCTTGTCGACCCGTCCTGCAAGTCTGTTCGCATCTAACCCGTAAGACGTAATACGTCTTTGTATTTTTAAGCGGGATAATTAGTTTTAGTTTCGAAATGAAGTCTCAGCGCGTGTGTATTATTACACAACTACAAGTACTCGGGGACGATTTAGACTCCACTGAACGGCGAGCGAACCTCCGACGTATCGTTACAAGACTTGCGAGATTTTTAATAAGCCCCACTAGGTGGGTACTTCAGAAATAGTATTTTTAAACACGACCACGCACGGTCATTATATTACAAATGAGTAGGTATCATATAATATTATGTAACGTGGGGATGAGGACATATTGTTGAAATAATCACAATTTATTCTCGACAGTGGAGCACTCGAACATAGTCAGCACGCGTATGTCGATCAATATATCGCACGTATTTCACCATCAGTAAAGTTATTGTCTGATCAGTTGCTGTGTAACTTAAAATATTATTTTCATATTTTTTTTTTATTTCTTTTTACTTTCAATAGTTGTCGTTAAACGGATCTAGGCACGGCTGTGGGGCGTCCACGACGAAAAAGGAGTCAAATTTCTGAGCGTTCAGTCACCCGCTCACAAACCGTCATAGCCGATATTGCACTGAGTACCATCGTACCGATATTCAGTCTTGAGCGGTGGAATCCGATTGAGCACAGACGTTGTTTTTGAGTAACCCGATTGAGCGCAGTAAAACAAATAATGTAACGTTCATTTGTACGATAATTTTATTATTCTTCATATACAAATGTGAAGATGATTTTTAACATCGTGACAGGTTAAAATCGTTCTAAATACCTATGTATCCTTTGAAAATAGCGTTGCGTAATAATATACGTGTGAATAGAAAATAATAACGAAATGCGCGAGGGCGAGAAGGCGGAAAGTTTCAAGCGTGTGCGATAAAATATATAGAAATATACACTCGAAAGGAAGCAAATATTGTTACCTCGGCGATATTATTATATTTTCCAAAAACAACGAATACGCGTCGGGCCCTGGAAATGCTGTCACACACCCACCCCTCGCATCCGATAATGACCGAATCCCGCGGGACCTCTCACCCCTCGGTGCGTTGCAATTTCCGGGTTGCACTTCCTCCGCGGGTGAGCGTCCACAAACGTGACGTAACAATAATGATAAAACAACGCCCTGCACACATAACGCACGATAATAATAATGTACGCGAGTTATAGGGCGGAGGGTGCGGGGCCGGGGGTTGGAAATCCATCAGGTGTGTCGTCGTGAATCGTTGGCGAAACGTTACGCTCCGCGCTTTTCCGGCCGGACCGTGCCATAGGTTAGGGGTGGCGAGCGGGAAATCAGTGTCACGGTTGAATGAAAAACAAAAAAAATCCGAAAAAAACGTCGACGATCCCCGGATTAGGCACTATTATATCATACTCGTATAAACGCTACACGCGCGCGCGTGTGTGTGTGTATTATACATGTATAGGTATCACATAATGTACATGTAATGTGTATGTGTGTGTGTGTGTGTGTTTATATAATTCAGTCGTCGCAGTGGGATTAACCAGCCCGCCAGCCGCAGCCCGTGCAACATATACGTTGGTATATATACCGTATACCGCGTACTCTTGACTCTGTGCGAGTCGGCAGTGTGACACCACACGTGTTTTAGTATGCGCGAGCGAATTGATTGATAAACTCTAGTCGTTTCGACCGGAACTCAATCGGCCTGAACACGCCGCCGGCGAGTATTTTTACTCAAATTATTATTTTTCTACACTCGCTCGGTCCGTCCGTCCGTCGTTACAATGTGATAACCTGATCTGACCTGACCTAACCGAATAGTGACTAGGACGTATCGGTGTGTGAGACGTGCACGTTACATTCGATTTCGAATAAAACGGTATATATTTTTTTAGGAATTTGATTACAGTCAATTCTCAGGAGTACCCAAAGCGCGGAGGGGAAAAAAACGGTTTTCGAAAAAATCTGAATTAGTTTTTTCGGTGTAACTGGAAAACTAATAACACTATAAACATATACTTAACGTTTTCACCAAATGTTTATATGTTTATTTTTGTTTTTCCTATACGCCATACATTTTGACTCTTTTTGAGCTATTTACGAGAATAAAAAAAATTGTTCGTTCGGTCAAAATATTTAAAAATGTACAGAATTTGTATTAACAAAAGCTTCGTACATATTGTTATAATAACAGTTAAAACATATCGAAAATATATTGTCATGATTTTCTTTTGTACTCATTTTAAGTTTATAATTTGCCAAAATTCATGATAATCTTGAAAATATGCGCATTTTTTTGTTGTTACAAATTTATAAAATGTTCAATTTTAAAGTTCAGAATTTAAAATTGAAAGCAAGAAATCTCATAAGTAGTTCATACTGTGGCCACAAATTCAAAGTTTGCTTGTTTTTATAAGCATTGGCGTAATCTGTGGTAATTTTTTTTTTTTTTTGTGGGGGGGAGCTGTCATAGGAAAACTAAGAATGTATAAGATAAAAATACACTATCGCTCATTCGGTCAAATATCCTAGGAGGCAACTGCCTCCCACCTCTTCGCCTTCAGATTACTCGTACACCTATAGTTATAATAATATAATAACTTGACCTTGCCTAACTATAAATACGACGAACAAATGTATGACGTGAGTACATTTTATTTGATTTCGAATAAAACGATATTAATTGGTCATATTTCGATTTTGGTTATGAATATAGGGGCTCATTTATATTTTTCGATTTCCGGGAAACCTGGGACAAATATCATGATCTTAAGATTAATATATTATCTAGTCGATCGTTAATTGTGTGCAGTTAAAGCGAACATTTTTTTCGTGTTGCACGACGTTTTAGGAACAACATATTATATTATATTTATGAGTTCTATACAGCCATGCGTGTACAATAAACAGGTAAATATGTGGAAAAATGAGTGGGTACATATGAGTAACAACCGTTGTTTTCTTACCATGACCTGAGTGGAAGGTAAGGGTCATTAAACTCGGTATCATACATCTCCTAAATCGATATAATACTCTTCGAGAGATGCTAATGATAAAAGAAGCTCGACGTTTACATGTTGTTAATTGTTATTATCAAAGATGCGATCCGAGTTTTATTTTTTTAGGGGAGGAAGCAGATAGTGGTAAAATTTCAAGGTCATTAGGCTATAATAATATTATCCAATCGATTTTTTTTAATCGAACGCAGCTTGTCGTTGTTTGTGTTATTGCAAATGTATTTTTGTATAGTTTTAGGAACGAAATATTATATTATATATTTTATGCTTTCTATACAATACCATTAATTTACAAAGTACTGCAGGTATTTGGAGAATCGCATAGGTCTCTATGAGCAATAATCGCCGTTTTCATACCAGGTGCGGAGCTTATGGTGACTAAACTTAATATCATACATCTCCTTAATCGCTATAATATATACACCTCGAGAGATGCAGATGATAAAAGAAACAAAGTCGCAAAGGTACCGTTTTGCGACTGTGAGTACACATGAATATTACACAGTTCTCGGTTTTTATTCTATTATATTCATTAATGATATTTAACAAGAATATATATATATATTATGTGCACACACCTTCGTTTATATTCCTAAGAGTGAACCTTTGAAGAAGAAAAAATGTATACTATAACTATACACACAAGGGTATTCTAATTCAATGTAACAAAGCAGAGATTATAAACAGTTGTATTCCATATTGCTAACGAACTTTTGTTCGAAATGTATATTCTCTGTGTAAATCAATGAAATAAATATTTGTCTCGTTCGGAATAAAAAAAAAATAATCAAAAACAGTTCAAACGCTCAAATAAGCAGTAATTTGCGTTGTACACTAAGACTGACGGGAGTGACTGCTCGTGCCGCGGTGCTCTCCGACGACCTTTATTGAAAATTCTTGTGATCGATAGATTAATTTGTCCACCTTTATAATGCGTATCCAAAGTTTAACCGTAAAATGTAGACAAAGTTAAACCACCGTGTCTATGGCATGTTTTTTCTTCGTTCTTTCTCTAGGTGTCATTTGATTCATTAAAAGTTCACATTTCGATAAACGAAAGTGCTGTTTAATCGAGGGCAAATATTTATACAATGTATATTTATAAACTATATTATAATTATTATGAAATAACAAGTATATACGCGTAGGTCGGTACTACATAGAAATATAGAATTTAAACAGAAGACAAACACAAAAAAAAAAAAAACACAAACAAAACGTAAAAATAGTAACACAGCAGTTGATTGGACTTTTTTCATTATATATCATTCTGCATCCATTGTAATACTAGTAAATTCAATTTACTTAACTCTTTTAAAATAGTTCCACAAAAAGTAACGAAAAATTGATGATCTGCACTGAGATGGGTATTTATGTAGTATACTTAAATGTAAACCTAATGCATTGGACATTAATAATGTAATGG